GGAGCAAATATTGAGCCAAAGTGTTTCCAGGAGTAGACATCTGAAAAGAAAGAAAGTTTTAGTTAGATTTCAAGATACCTCAATATAATAACCCAAAGATATAATATCAAGGTTAGGATCCAACCATGAAGGTTCACAACTTAGAAATGGGATGCCGAGATCCAAGTGTAAATTTCATAAAGGTAGGTGAATGACGATTCACCAATTCCACCATTAGACGAAACAAACGAAGTGAAATTCCCAATTCTTTTGAGATACATTGAAACTATTCAATGGCATGTTTTAATCTCAGATTATGCTCTTCTATTTGTGACTGGGATGCCGAGGATCACAAACAAGATATGAATAACCATGCAAATGTGCTTGGTAACCTCATTGTCTTTATCATTAACTATTGATGTGCTGGTAAGCCACACACGCTCCATCAAAATGATAATTATGAGATACTCATTACTACTCTTTATTAGTGCCTTTTAGTGTGCTGGTTAACCACACACGCTCCACTAACGACCAATAAAGCACAATGTGCAATTTCATGGATTAGCATACTTTTCACATTTTCCTAAAGTAACTAGAGTTGGGATTTTGTAAATAATGTTCTAGTACTTTCTTTAATAGCATTATACTTTTAATGAGAAGTAGTTGTCCTATCAAATCCGTTCTGCTAACGACCCTCCACTAATCAAGGGAGCGGTGGGTGAGAGTGGACACCCATTCAACTACCATTTTATAGACAGTTTCCTTATACCCCCCTTATAGACTAGCTTCATGAATGAGGCATACTAGCGATTTGACTGACCATATTCTTATACATATATAATATTAAACATTTAATCATAATACATATATAAGGTGTGTTTTAAACTTTTAAAACTTTAAGGTTTATATAAATTCGAAAAATTTAAATATTAATTTAAATTTAAAAATAACCAAATTACTAGATATAATGTTTATCTATTAATTAACTTTTAATCAATTTATTAAATCTTATAAGGATTATCTAATCAAATTAATCAATTAATTTAATCCTAATCCTTATCCCTCTAAAATTTCGAAAATTAGGGTAAAGGATAATTATTCAATTAATCTAATCAAGTAACAATTATCCAAAACAAGAAACCCTAAAATTACTAGGCATATTTCGAAATTTACAAGGGAGGAGGCTAGGATTTCCAAAACCCTAACCCTAATTTCGATTAGGGTTCTTGGAGGCTAGGGTTTTCGAAAACCCTTTGATCCAAAACCCTAAAATCGAAAATTTTGGCCTTTAGGGTTTAATGGCTATAAACCCTAATTTGCAATTCAACAATTATAGCAATTCAATTTAAAACAAACAATGGCTCTGATACCACTGATGGGTTTTATGTAAAACAAATAAACTAGAAAAACAACTCCTAAGTTCACATGCAACCTACTTTGGATCTATGTTTTAACTATTGAACATACAACTTTGAATTGCAAAACAAGAACCCTAGAGGAGGAGGCTAATTTCGAAATTAACAAACTAGGGTTTATGAGTTACATACCTTTCAATTGTTATAGCAAACAATTGATAATTCCCTTGATCTTGATCTTGATCTTCTTGGAAGCTTAGCACCACAAGTGTAATGCCTCTAATGGAATCACACCCAAGAACTAGCAAGAAGGAAAGTAGCTGAGGGATCTTCCAAAGAACAAGTCACCTAAAATGTGAGCTAGGAGGCTCCTTAAATAGCTGAGGGATCTAGGGTTTAGGGAAAACCCTAGTTATCCTTTGCTTAGGGCCTAAGCAAAACCCAAGGGCCTTATCTGGACCCCTTGGACGAAATCTCTAGGGTTTCCCCTATGGATTTCGTCCACCTCCTTCCAAGGGGGTTCTGGATCCTTCCACTCAACTATAAGTTAATTGCAAACTAGTCCCTGCACTTTATAATTAATTCTTTTAACCCCAAAATTAATTCTGATTAATTTCTGGCTAACTATTATTAAACATAATGATTCTAATTAATATATTAATCTTTAACATATTAATAAATCATTTATATATATTAATTTATTAATCTTATAAATTAATATCTCTCCTTTCATAATTTCCTTGTCCAGTTGCTAGGTTGAGGACAACCCAAAAGGACTGTGCTGCTATCAATTCAATTACATACCAATTATAGTTATGGGCTTAGACACCTAATCCAACAGATAAACCTAGAACTGAAAGGATAAGTCCTTAAGACGTCTTAATACAACAATCCACCCAACAATGGCCAAAAGCATGATAATTCATCCCAAAAAGAGATCTAAACAACTAAGAGTCAAGATGAGAACATGATTCCTCTAAAACTTTGCAAAAGGAGTGGTGATTCTGGATCCAAGACCTTCTGTCCAAGCTAAGCAACTTCAAGCTTCTCCAACTCCTTCAAAATGCACAAAATGAACACCAAATTATCTCCAAGGGCTCAAACACTCAATAATGGAGGCTAAGACTCGTTTCTAGGGTTTTGAGGCTTTAGAGGCTAGTAAGGATGCAACCCCTAATGAATAAGGATGTTTATATAGGGTGCAAAACCCTTAATTAGGGTTTCGTTAAAGTCCACGTATGCCCAACGTATGTGACCGGGGTCCCGACTCACCATCAACTCAGTATGCTAAGCATACCAAGTGGTACACCCCGCATACTGGCTTTTCAGCTAGTACGCTAAGCGTACCAAGTGGTACGCCCCGCGTACTACTCCACGGACTAAAATGCACATTTCCAAAAATAAAGGGCCATAAGGTACATACCTGGGTACAAGTGTTACATTAGTGGATCCGCGGGAGCAAGCCGTGTAGCAAGGAGCGTATCACAGTGTTCTTGGGTTTCTTCATTTCAGGCGAGTTTCGCCTCGCTGTACCCGTGGGTCGAAGACACCAATGTCGGACCACTAGCTTTGGTTATCTTTAGTAGAAGGATGCCATAAGGATTGTATATAGGCATGTAGTATAGATTGAGGACTCTTGATCTAGGCTCTTTTACTTGTTACTTGTTCCGGGTGTCTATCTCACCTCTAAGTATATACGGTTATGCGTTCCTTAGATTGTTGGTATTTAGTATGTTGTTATGATTTACTGGTCTGTTAGACCTGTATTCTGGTATATAGGATGTTGTTATGCGGTAGTGATCTGTAGATATGTATGTTTACCTATACTTGCTGGTTAACATCTAGTGGAGTACCTTAGGGACTGTCTGTGGTCATGTAGGATAGCCTGAGAACCCTTGATCTAGGCTTTCTTACCTGTTCCTTGTTTAGTTGTGGCTCTAGAGTAGGATCATCTGTTTGGGTGGCTATCTCACTTCTGGTTACTTATAGTTACGCATTTCATGGAGGTTAGCTGGTAGCGGGACTGCATGTCGTGAGAGGACTAGTAGGCGGTAGTGACATGTATGATTGATGTTTGCCTATATTATATGTCTATTTGATCCTTGATTGTTTATATGTTGACATACAGTAGTGGTGGGTTGAGGCGGTCCTGCTTTGTGCTGTAGGCCAAGATAACAAGTGTGGGTCGGCTGTAAGCCGAAGGCACAGAGGCTCGGGAGGAGCGGTTGGGTTGAGGCTGTAAGACAACAAACCCTAGTATTCCGGCCCGGATAGACTGAAGGCCTGCGAGGCGGTCCAGTCAGGCTGAAGGCCCGAAGAGCGGCCAGTATGCATTCGTGTATGTTTATCGTATTGGGTATTTTGGGGGAAACTCACTAAGCTTTGTGCTTACCCAGTTGTTTATTGTTTCAGACATCATCGGTCATCATGGGAAGGCGAAGGCGTGATTGTACACATTCATCAACAATAATGAAGATTCCACCCTTTAATATTACTCTGATTTTTTTAAATGTATTTGGAATAAATGGTTTTCTCCATAACGGATTTATAATTGGGAAGATTTACTTAAATAAAATGAAAATTTTGTTGTGAAAATGGGATACAATTAATTTATTGAGTTTTTTTTCAAGGGAATTTCACACCATATTTGCTTATTCTCTCTCTCTTTCTCTCTCTCTCTCTCTCTCTCTCTCTCTCTCTTCTCTCTCTCTCCCCTTAGTAACCACAATTCATAATTCTCCACATTTTTTTAATCTTCTATTTTTTTTTCAAATCCACATTGTTATTAATATTGTTTTGTATTCAATATTTTGATTTAGTCAATTATTATAGAATTAATGAATTTTAATTATAATTATAAATATGAATTAATTATAAGTAAAAATATTTAGCATAGGGCCCCTAAAATCGACGGATCGACCCTGACTAAAAGTAATTCAATATTGAGAGGAAACCTGTATTTACAAAGAAAGATAAATAATACTATAAATACTAACATTATCTAAGATTAACCTAGCTATATTGTTAAACATAAGACCTAATAGAAAAAGAGTCAAACAACTTATTATGCTAAGAGCTTGTACTCCAACTAGACTTCCTCCACACTTGAATTTATTGGATGCAACCTGCATGAAATTGTGTCAACAATATTTTTAATGGACTTTGACTCATGCCTGCAAATTAAATATATAAGGGTCATTAGCACGTACTTTAACAAATAGCCTTATCATAAACTACTACTGTTAGACAATGTTGCTTTGTGAGTTCTTAGCAAATGTTTATATCCAGTAGTAGTGAATGTAGTTAAAGCCTTAGTTTATTAATTAAGGTCATCAACATCATCAAGAATAAATAAAATATTTGTATGACAACCTACTTATTATCATCACTTTGTATTACCAATTGTGTTTTCAAAATGGCTAATAGAACAACTTCAAATCATAGTTGTTGATTCCCTTCTAAAATATAGATATTGTTATTAGATTATTGCATAGTACACGTATAACTACATGCATAAATGTCCATGACTAGTTGTTCTCTAAAACCATGTATTTTATCATCAATAACTTGGCTTTATCCTTTAAAATCTTAGAAGGTATACGTATAAATGTCTTGTAGTAGAGCACACATATCTTAAGTATAAAAGTGAACAAACAAAGAAGAAAATTACCCGTTGGCAATGTGTTGGGGTTCCCATCCAGAAATGTTACTTGCATACACAAGTGCTCTTCTCCAAGAATCAATCTTGGTCTTGTTCTCCAGCTCATGCTTGGCCAAGTCTTCTTGGACTTTCCATATTTGTTCTCGTGGTGCAGAGAGCCATCCCCAAGGATCATCTAGAAATGCTTGTCTCCAAGATTTAATTTTCTTCTTGTTCTCTAACTCGTGGTTGGCAAATGCTTCTCCATATTTTCGTTTTTGTTTTCGTACTTCAGAGGGATTAACATCATAAAATATGGGTATAACAATTTGGCCTTTCATTTGCCTGCATTTCATAATACATGCAAGTGATGGAATACCCTCTGCAAAAAGAGTTAAAATTAACATGAGTCCCTATGGTTTGATTTCGTCGCACCGGATGTCCCTCAGCCTAACCCCCATTTATTTCCACTGCTAAAGAGAGTCATGTGGCCCTCACATGATCAATCATTTCCTTTGTGGTCTCATGCATAAGTAAAAGGCCTAGAGGGCTAGAGAGTTTCTTTTCCTTTTCCTCTTTCCTCAACTGCTTCATGAAGCTATTTTGAAGATGGTGATATGTGCATGTGGTACCCAAGCAGTAATATTGGCATCTTGAATCTCAATTCAGGTAGGAGATTCTGGTTTTGTTCTCAAAGTGGAATCAATTGTGGTTTTGTAGGATGGTTGAGTCCCCCAATGTGTCTAAGAGCTGTAGAAGTTATTCCCGGTTAGTTAGGTCCATGAATGAGCTCCGCCAAGTTGTGCAGATGCTAATTAAGAAGTACAAGTATTTGTTCTTTGGTTCATGGGTTTTGTTCCTTGTTGCCTATTTTTTAGCATCTAATGAAGGATTAGGTGTATTTGGGGTGATGTACGTTTTCGAAGGGAAAAGGGGGTTCTTTTGTTGTTGAAATTGTAACAATTGTCTTTAGTTTTATGAGATGTTTATCAAGTTTAACTTGTCTGTGAATGGCTTTTTTGGTACTTGTTGGATATCATAATGCAATGAAAAATGTTGACTTAATTATGACATTGTTTCTATTTACAATTGTTAAATTCATAAGTACAGTATGTTGTGTGATGTTTATACATGTATAGTAACATGATGAGTCCTTACAGTGATTTTATTGTGAACCAATACATCTTAATTTTGAACATTTTGTCAATAAAGTATCCATTACACAAGAAATTGACCATTTCCATAAACGAGTTAAAAACTTGTCAACATTGTCAGGTTTTGTGACCATATTGATAGCAGCATGAGCATACCAATTTAAACAAGGAAAACATAACAATGTAAGTTACAACAATCTTGTGTACATTATAGGTCTATCCCTTCCACCAAGCAGTTTGGAATTGAAAGTTTCACAGATGTTTATTAAAATATTTGTATGTGGTCTCCCTGATATTATTGAAAGTATAACAAAGCAAGCCATGTAATCAATTTCAATAGTTTTGACATGTAAGGTAAGAAATGGTTTATACCAGAGAAATGGATCTAAATCATGTTGCCATTAGAGGACTCTGAATCACGTTGGGCATGGCTCTGAATCATGTTGTCGTTAGGCATGAATAAAATATTGATAGAGGACTTTGAATCACTTTGGATAGGTGTTACAAAATTAACACCCGCAATACAAGAAACATGTTCAACAAATCATGAGCATTTAGAGATAACAAGGATACCATCCAACCAAAGCATAATCAAATACCACGTGGCACTCAAGTGCTTGGTAGATCCCACATAGTAGCGATCATTTTTACATCATGTGGAGAATACTAGATGGATGTTTTACCATATTTCCCCCATACGGCTGTGCCAAACAAGCTGATTATATTTACCCTCTACAAGTGTAGGCATCGAGACATGGAGGAGCTTCAGGTGTGGGGAAACTTCCAACAAAAAATCCACTTGATGCCTGTAAAAACAATCAAATAGAAAATAAAATTTACATGAACTAGACACAAAATAAAGGTCCCTATGGTTTGCTTTTTTCTTTGGGCACGGTCCAACAAGTTCGGAAATTGCAAATTTTCTTGTGGCTTTGTACTCATCCCAAACTAAAAAGACTATTATACCCTTTGATTTAAGTTTTACATTATTTTAATATCTATCATTAAAATGAGAAAAGGTCCCACTACATCCACCCACCCCAATGGTGGATCCACACTTCCCCAAGTTGAGTGTTTGGACCCCACTTGACTATGATACTTGCCCAAAATTTATATGTAATGTATTTGAACTTGTAATTTGGAACACACTATTTAACATGACTTCTAATAAAATATTAGATTCTCCCACCACAGGGAACATTTTTGCAGTTTTCGATAAAATAAAACTTGATGTTGACAATAAGGATTATGAAAGGAAAAAAAAAAGATAATAAAAGCTAAGAACGTTATAAACCTTATTCTGGGGAAACAACTACTTGGTAAATGAAAGCTTTCTTTAGTTCTTCCACAACCAGAGTCATTGTTGGGCGATCTCGACCACGACACTTCAAGCATTGATGAGCAATGGCTGAAAACGTACTCAAGGAAGCCGAGTTCATTTGATTTCTTAGATCGCAATCAATGATCACATCTAAGGTTCCCTTTTCGTAATGACTTTGGGGTAATTCTGCTGAAAAAGGCTCATCAAGATGCTTTGAAACACCCACCAGCTTTCCACACAAGACTTCAAACAACACCACCCCAAAAGAGTAAACATCGGATTTTTGTGTGAGAATGCCATGTTTATAGTACTCTGGATCAACATATCCCGGCGTGCCACAAACTTTGGAGATAAGAATTGTACACGGCACATTTGCAAGAGCTACTTTGGACAACCCAAAATCGGAAATCTTAGCTCTGAAATTTTCATCTAATAGGATGTTTGAGCTCTTCATATCACGATGTAAAATTCTATGTTGTGTTCCAATATCATTATGAAGATACTTTAACCCTTGGGCAACATCTAAGCAAATTCGAAGACGTTGGATCCAAGTTAGATCTTTCCTACGTAAATGTTGGTCAAGGCTCCCATTACTTTCATACTTGTAAACAAGAATTTTCTCATCACCCTCATCGCAAAATCCAACAAGAGAAACAAGGTTTTTATGTGTATAAGCTGAAAGCATTGCTATCTCCATCATGAATTCACGGTCTCCTTGCCCAAACCTAGGATCCAACTTCTTTACTGCGATAATTCCATGTTTATTTTGGGCTTTGTACACCAACCCAAATCCACCCTTCGCAATCACGTACTCTTTGCTGAAGTTGTTAGTTGCCATAACTAATGTTCTGAGAGGAATCTTCAAGTGCTCGAAGTCCTGAAGTCCAATGAGGTTGTTGTTAGGAAACTACCACTATACTATAATGTGAGATTTTTTTTTTTTTTTTTTTAAATTTGTTAGATGTTTTATCGGTTACTCGGTTCTACTATTGCTCACAGGTGTTGAGCAATATCTTCCTGATTAATTTTATAATAATAACTTTAGACATATTAGTGGAGATGCATCAGTTAATGAGATAATAGGCGTGTTACCTTATAACCGTTTTGTTTTATTACTTCTTCCGGTGGAACAGTTATTGGCAACTGACATGTAGCTTGAAGTCTTTGTTCAGTGTTGTCCATGCTTGTGCCAGCTTGAATCAAAGGATGTGATTCGATTTGTTTTTTTTCTTCTGTCAGTGGAACAATTACTGGCAACTGATTTGTAGCTTGAAGTCTCTGTTCAACTTTGTCCATGTTTGCAACAACCTGAATAAAAGGTTGTGATTCAATTTGTTTTCTTTCTTCTATCAGTGGAATAACTACTGGCAATTGACATGTGGCTTGAAATCTCTGTTCAATGGTGTCTGTGTTTGCACCGACCTGAATAAAAGGTTGTGAATCAATTTTATTGCTTCAGTTTTATCAAGTCTCTGTGATACAAGAACAAAATGGTTTCAATGTTGCATTGTATATAATAAATTATAAGATATTTTATATAAGCCATAAAAACCAATATGAAAGTCCGTCGTAAACTTAAAAAAGTTATAGTCAATGTCATCATCCCAAAAAACTAAAATATTATAAGTTTCAAAATCCATAAAAATCATGTGTGTATGTATATGTATATGTATAAGTTTCAAAATTCATATATAATAAACTTACAGTTATAGTCAATGTCATCATCCCAAAAACTAATATTATAAGCTTTAAAAACCATAAAAACGTTATATGTATATGTATATCAGTATATGTATATGTATATGTATATGTATATGTATATATATATATATATATATATATATATATATATATTGAAACGGCAAATCTAACCTACTCCTAAACTACACCTTATATCCACCTATGTCCACGACGAGACTTGAACCCTCAACCTCAAGGAAGGAGGGCAACACCGGATGTATAAAGCAATAAAGAACAATATGCATTACCTTATAACCCTTTTGTTTTCCTTCTTCTGTCAGTGGAACAATTACCGGAGACAGACTTGTAGCTTGAAGTCTGTGTTCAACGTTGTTCATGCTTGCACCAACCTGAATAATAGGAACTTTGAATCGTTTGAATAATTCTCAGCTAAGAATATATTGCATGAAAATGATAGCGTTCACAAATTGGAACTAATGTTAGGCTAATGTACAATATTAATGCATTACCTAACTTGATAAGAACGAGAGAGTACATTGTTATTTAATTAAATTCGATGACAAAAAGGGTTTTCAACAATAGAAATTATGTACCTTAATGAGGCCAGGTGTCCCACTAATAACAAAATCTTCTAGCGCCTCTACTTTGTCCAGCTGTAAGATGTCGTATAGCATATCAACATCCTCAAACTCATCAAAATCCTCCTGCGGTAAAGACGATTTGTGGTAGGTTTAAATGCTGGTTGAAAATTCCTTCATTTTCAATATGACAAGGTGACAAAGCATCGAGAACCTCAAAGAAAGTACTATTGAGAAAAAGTGAGAGGAATTAAATAAAATATAACCTGATTTCGTTCCACATAGTCATCAGTGAAGTCCTTAACATCATTGACTAGCTCAGGACTCAATTCATCATTATCCAGCAGCCTCAATATCAACTCTAGTTTCAATATATGAGCCTTGTGCCTAGCAATTGATGACTCTAAATGTCTCTATGAAACAAAAAACGTATCCAATATAAGGTAATTTTACAGAAATGGTGTCTATTATGAGGTGAAATTTAAAGAAATTGAATCTAGTATTCATCATATTACCAGTCTCGGAGGCCATGTTTTTCCTTTCTTTAAAGATAGCCCCTCCATCTCAGCTTCAAATCCATCGATTTGAGATTCCAGCTCAGACACCTAACCAATTATAAGCAAGAATAAGTGCCAGCTTTCAGGCATTAAAGCAAAGAGAGGCCTTCAAATCCATAACATAGTTTCATACCGTATTGTTCAACCAATCTCTAGTCTCTGACTTGGCTTTCTCCTTATAATCCTACAAAATATAAAGTTTACAATGACAAAAGATGATTTCCATGTATGCTAATTAAGTTTCTGCATCATATGCAAAAAGACTAAAAAAAGATGGCAATAGCTACCCATTTAGGCTGCTGTCCCAGGCGTTCCTTAGAGAAAGCTTTTGTCTTTGTATCCTTTTCACAAATCCTGAATCGTTCCATTTCTCGCTCAATAAGCTTGCGAGCATCCATCAGAGCCTGCTCATAAGAGGCACTAACCTACGAGGAAGGAAGTAGACGAAATAAGGCAACTAGAGACTGGGTAACCAACGCGTTCATGGCGATTCAAGTGCAATAACAAAGAAATACAAAGGGGGATCTTAAATGACCTTCTTATCCTTGATCTCGCTGGACTGAATCCATGTCTTAATCTGGTCTCTGTACCTTTGAAGTTTCTTAATCTCCTTCTTCAAGTCGGCCTCAAACCTTTCCCTCTGATAGGCATTGTCAGTATCGTAAACCTAAAATACGAAAATCCAAACATAACATGAAACCTTCAGCATTCAGATTACACAAAAACCAGAAACGTCAGTAATTCAAAGAAGATTATAAAAACATTTACGCATACCTTGTTCCATATCCTGTCGAAAACATCGACACTTTCTTGAACTTTTTTTAGAACTCGATCGATCTCACTTTGAAGCTTTCTACTGGCTCCCATTAACAGTTATTAAATCTATAGTTGAAATTAGATTGTGAAATCTAAGCATCCAAAACCTTCGCCGGCCAACACATAAGTGTCTTGAAGTGGAGTTCTGATTCTGAGTGAAGAATATGAAAAGCGAAATACTCGCCTTGGAAAATAAAATAATATAACGGTGAAACCGGGAATATACGCGTCTTGTAATTGGAAAGTAAAATAATAATAGGTCTATTTGAACGTATTTTGCTGGGTCGGGTAGTCAATTTAGAGTTTTAGGAAAACGACCAAAAAAATAATACAGTTCTTAATTTGTATATATTATTATTAATTGTAAAATAAACTCCTTAATTTGTTGTTTTGTATACATTTCGTATTTATAACCGGCCATTTCATGTTATAATCTACCGACTACTCCAACTTAAGTTCTCAGTTTGTATATATATTTAATCTTTAATTTTTTTTTTTGTAAAATAAGTAATTATTGGTTTTATACATATTCAGTATTTATAATGAGTTTTCTTTAGATTTTGCTCACATGACATGTGACATCTTACGTAGGATAATTATTAGGCTATGCGGAGTGGAAGTGCCAAGCCAAGTCGCCATGCTCGCCAACTTCATCGAAACACCGCCCCCTAGCTCTCGCTAGGGGGCTCGTCATTGTTGAGTCGTCAAAGTCTTAGCGAGGTGAAAGAGAAAGCTTGCTTGGTTCTGATTGGATGCATGAATGTTCCAGCTTTACCTTTTCAGTATGCATGCGGAATAAAAAAAACATTTTTAATATACCAGCTTTACCTACAGTGCTAAAAGTGTTACCACTCCTTACCATATGTTAAATGTGGGTGTTAAAAGGAGAAAAATGATGTGACATTTAAAATGTTTATGTGGCAAGGTGCCAAGAATGTCACCACTCCTCTTAGCCTTAATGAGGTATGTTAGCCTTTAGTAAAGACAAAAACACATTTTACACAGCAGGTTTCAAACAGAGCAAGTTTTAGAAGAAAATGGTAACTGACACATTAAAGTATTTTCTGCATATCATTTAAAATAACGACAGCTACATAGTATAAAAACAGAAGTGAGAAAGGGAAACTGCTGCTACCTAGAAAACATGAAAAGGCTATGAAAACAAACTACCCACTAGCTTGACTAATTCAACAAAGCAATTACTGAAACATAAAGAAAATAACTAAAGGACAAAAGGAGGCCTGCACGTGACTGGTTGACCAAGTTGATGTTGTTCTCTTTTAACATTCCCTCTCAAGATCAACTTCTACCATACCCATCTTGTCACCAAATTCAACCAGTTTTGCACTTGATAAACTCTTTGTAAGCAGGTCTGCTACCTGATCAACAGTGTTCACATATTTAAGGTCAATTTCCCCTTTTAAGACCTTTTCTCTGATAAAATGATAATGAACTTCAATGTGCTTGGTACGTGCATGAAAAGTAGGATTCTGAGCAAGCTTGATTGATGACATATTATCACAAAGCAGCAGAATACTATAGTTAACTTCTTGGTTTAGATCCTTTAAAAGTTGCACAAGCCACACACATTCCTGAGATGCTACTGCAGCAGCTCTATATTCGGCTTCAGTTGTGGAAAGAGAGACTGTGGGTTGACGCTTGCTACACCTAGATACTATACTTGATCCAAGCATGAAGATATAACCTGTGGTTGATCTTCGAGTGTTCAAATCACCAGCATAATCAGCATCACAAAATCCCATTAGCTTACATTCAGATTCCCTCTTAAACCGGATTCCATAATTGAGAGTAGTCTTAATATACCTTAACACCCTTCTGGCAGCCCCAAGGTGGGGGTTTCTTGGACTCTGCATGTAACGACTTAACACACTAACTACAAATGCAATGTCTGGTCTTGTTAAAGTGAGATATATAAGACTACCCACCAACTTTCTATACATTGTTGCATCATCTAACTCCTTACCCATGTTAGCACACAACTTAGCATTGTTATCCATGGGTGTTACAGCTCCCTTGCAATCAACCATTTTGAACCTCTTTAATAGATCATTACAGTACTTATGTTGGTGCAGAATTAAACCATCATTATCATAGCTGATTTCTAACCCCAGAAAGTGTTTCAATTTCCCTAGGTCCTTCATGAAGAACTGAGTACACAAGTTATGTTTCAGCTGAGCTATCATGTCATCCAAATCACCTGTAATTATTAAGTCATCGACATATACAAGCACCATCACTACCTTGCTTCCAACTTTCTTCACAAACAGGCTAGCATCTGCAAATGTACTTGTGTATCCATTGTGTTCAAGAAATTCACCAATTTTTCCAAACCACGCCCTAGGAGACTGTTTAAGCCCGTACAACGCCTTCTTGAGTTTACATACATAATCAGGATGTTGTTTGCTTTTGAATCCAAGAGGTTGTTCCATGTGAATGACATGATCCAAGTTTCCATATAGGAATGCATTACTTACATCCATTTGCCAAAGTTTCCATCCCTTGCTAGCTGCCAAAGCCAACAAAACCCTTATTGTAGTTAACTTCGCCACTGGGCTAAAAGTGTCCTCGTAGTCCAGCCCATATTGCTGTGAGAAGCCACGAGCTACCAAACAGGCCTTAAATCTTTCGATTGACCCATCTGCATTACGTTTCACTTTATACACCCATTTACACGAGATGGGTTTCACTTCAGTAGCTTTTGGAACTAGTTCCCACGTCTGGTTCCTCATTAAGGCAGTTACTTCTTCTTCCATTGCTATAACCCATTCTCGTTTAGTGGCAGCTTGATCATAAGTTTCTGGTTCAAACACATCTTCTTTTACTAAAGAAGCATTGGCATATCTGGGATTATGTTTTCTAAGTCTTGTAGACTTTCTGACACTTGTGGCTTCATGGTTCTCACTATCATTGCTGATTTCATTGTTATCATTTTCTTGGATATCTTCATTATCAATAATGACTTCATCATTATTCAGGTGTACTCCTACTCTAGAGGATTGTACTTCATCTCTTCATTATTCAGGTGTACTCCTACTCTAGAGGATTGTACCACCATGATGAAGTTTCATCAAATACCACATTCCTTGATACATAGCATCTACCAGAGGTAGGATCACAACACTTCCAGCCCTTCCTTTCCTGGTCATAACCCACAAAGATACACCGAACAACCTTCTTATCCATCTTGTTGCGTAGATGGTTGGGTATGAACACATAACACACACACACACACCCAAAGACACGAAGATGACTAACATTAGGCTTCAACCTCTTAAGCTTTTCAAAAAGGAGACAAATAACCAAGACTTTATTGAGGAATTCGGTTAATCACATAAGTTGCTGTCTTCATAGCTTCTGCCCAGAACTGACCTGGTACATTTTTGTCATGAATCATGCTTCTACAGATCTCGCCCAGGTGTCTATTATTTCTTTCGGATACTCCATTCTATTGTGGAGTGTTTGGACATGTAAGTTGACGCTTGATCTTGTGCACCTTAAGAAAGTCATTGAATTCAGAGGTCAGATATTCCCCACCATTATCTGATCTTAAACAACCAATATTATACTCAGTCTCTCTTTCAACTTCATTCTTGAATTCTTGAAACTTGGAGAACACTTCAGGCTTCTCCTTCATGAAATACACCCACACGTATCTTGTATAATTGTCTGTAAAGGTCACCATGTATTGCAAACCTTTGATAGATGGTTTCTTAACAGGTCCAAATACATCAGAATGTGCAAGTTCTAGAGGCAACTTAGACTTGTACTTTGAGTGTTCGAATGGTTGTTGATGAGCCTTTCCAAATTGGCACCCGACACACACTAAACCCTTTTTGACTTCAAGTTGAGGGAGACCTTTCACCATCTGCTTTTTGATCATCAAATCAAGCTTGTCATAGCTAACATGACTCAACCGCATGTGCCAAAGATCCACATTTTCATTCCTTTTTGTCTTATCTACATAAGCTGTTTCGGTAGACATCACATAAATTGAGTCTGATCTTCGTCCTTTTAGAATTGGCTTTGATGGAGTCACAAATTCTTTGTAAATCTTCACATCATCAGGGCCAAACAATACATAGTGGCCAGCAGAAGCAAGTTGAGAGACTGAAAGGAGATTCTTTTTCATACCTGGTACATGGTACACACCTTCAAGTTTTAGTTCCCTGTTATTGTCTTCTGGGCAAAACACAACATTGCCAATGTGAGCAATCGACAACTTGGAATTATCATCTATCACTACTACTTTACTGCCTTCATAATTTCTGGATTCTTGCAACTTTTCATGCTCTCCAGTCATGTGATTAGAGCATCCAGAATCTACTATCCATTCTTCAAATTTGTTGTCACGACTCTCTACTGTTGCGTTAAATGCCACCTCTTCTTGGTCTTGAGCATAAAAAGCTTCTGCATCCCATGTTTCTTCTACTTGAGAAGTTGCAGCATTTCCTTCCTCAATGTTTTCTGAACGACAATCGCGTGCCATGTGACCCCTACGCCCGCAATTATTACACATGAAAGGAAATCTTTTGTGGGGACGGTTACTCTTTGTCTTATCTTCAGACGATTCTCCTTTATCAAACTTACGACTCGTCTTTCTATGTTCATAGTGTTTACTCTTGTCTGAATTCTTTTTAGACTGTGATTTATACTTCCCTTTTCTTTTCTCTGCGTAAAGTGCTTCATCATCAGTCCTAACTGTGGCACCTCCCATCTGCTTCACTAAGGCTTCCTGTCCCGCCAAGAGATTCTCAAACTCAACTAGTGAGGGTTGAGTTGCCCAACCTTGAATTGCTGTTACGAAGCTTCTAAACTCTGGTTTGAGACCATGTATAATGATCCTTTTCATCCTCGTCTCACTGATTTGAGACTGAGGATCAAGCTCCGTAATTTCTCTACAAGTAGACTTCACCTTGTGGAAAAACTGAGGAATTGTCATGTCTCGTTGAGACACAGACAAGAGTTCATTCTCGAGTAACTGTAGCTTTGTATCGTTCTTCTTAGAGAATAAGGCTAACAACGTATCCCATGCCTCTTTTGGTGTCGACATATCCCTGATATGCTCGAGTATATCTTCTTCAACGGTTGTCTTTAAGACGAACATTGTCTTGCCTGCCTTGATCTTCCACTTTCGTAGGTTTCCATCGTTATCTTCTGCCTCAGGTTGTTTTGTTTCGGTCCCTTTCACAACTTCCCACAGATCCTGTCCTTGCATATAAGACATGATGCAAGTTGACCATGTGTTATAGTTCTGATTGTTAAGCTTCTTTACTCCACCAACAACTTGTAAATCAGCCATTGACAACGAGGCTCTGATACCACTTTGTTAGCCTTTAGTAAAGACAAAAACACCTTTTTACACAGCAGGTTTCAAGCAGAGCAAGTTTTAGAAGAAAATGGTAACTGACACATTAAAGTGTTTTCTGCATATCATTTAAAATAACGACAGCTACATAGCATAAAAACAGAAATGAGAAAGGGAAACTGTTGCTACCTAGAAATCAGGAAAAGGCTATGAAAACAAACTACCCACTAGCTTGACTAATTCAACAAAGCAATTACTGAAACATAAAGAAAATAACTTAAGGACAAAAGGAGGCCTGCACGTGACTGTTGACCAAGTTGATGTTGTTCTCTTTTAACAAGGTATTCCCACATCCACTCCATTCATCATGTGATATTGATAATTATTTTTGTCTTTTGCTAAAATAAATATTGTTGTTCATCATTATTTATTGCTCATTGAAATCTGTTGTGTTCATTGAGTTCCTGTTTAATCGATTTATTCTACTCATGTTGTTGATTCATTGGTAAATTTAATTGATAAAAAAGAAAATTGCATCACGCTACTGTTCATTGCAAGTTTTCACTAATTTTTCATCCTCTTCTTCGTATATTTTTTTTGGGTCTGCATTCCTTAATGTTTCCATTCACGGCTTGTGCTTCAAAGTTTGCATATCAGAATCGATTGAAATCCACTAAACTTCAAGGATTATACTCGATTGATTTAACCGATTTTTAGGATTTTTTTGTCATCAGCGTGTTCTTCATTCAAACCCACTGCTAGAATCGATTCTTCATCTTGTTCTTATGATTCATTAAATCTATAGTAATAGTCCTGAAAATTATTGTCTGCAGTTGAATCCGTTTAATTGTTCATTTAGGTTGAAGTTCATTTCTAAAAAAAATAAATTGTCGACTATTATGCCCTGAACACAATTTTTTGATCTGAGAAATTTTCAGGTAATGGTGTTCTTGGCTATTTGTCGATGATTATGACGCTTTCCTTGAATGATTGATTCAGGTGAAGTAAGATCGAACTTGTGGTTTCGATATTAGTTGGATCAGCTGCTCTGATTTTGTGATGCTTCGCTCCCGTTTCATCTACTGATCATTGATTTCGATTTGAAGGTAGATTTAAATGTGATTTAAATTTCTATACATAGATGATGAATGATCGAGATGCTGATTTGTATGGTTTCGAATGGATTGGGATTAGTTAAAGACGATGAATCGAAATGGGGTGAAGATGACCGATGATGAATGGTGTTGACACTCCGATGAACAGTCATGTGGGTGAGGGACCATTCTTGTAACTATAGGATATCTTAATAAAAGACAAAAATATGAATAAAAAAAGATGAGGGTATAAAGGTAATTTTACTGTACTTAATGGGCTCTGCAGTTAGAGTTAACGGATTAGGGACCAAGTTTATAATATCCAAATAACACAAGGACCAAGTTTGTCCATTTTACTGAAGTTGGACTATAGATGCCTATTATGCCATACCACATGGACCATTTTTGTAATTTTCTCTAACAATAGTATATGACTTCCTAAATAAAAATAATTGTAGTTACTAATTAAAAGGAAAATAAGTAATTGTAGTTATTAATCACAATAATATATGACTTCCTAAAATCTCAATTGTTGAGTATATATCAGATCTTATATCCACCGATCATCAACAATCTAATATCTTCAATATCATACCATCATAATTGAGCATCACATCTTAACCGATCGATCGATTTTGTTTCAGCATCATCATATCTCCATCATCATCAAAAAATTATGTTTCAACGTCTCAGATCCTCAATATCTTCGATCAATTCTACTCCAACGTCATCAGGTCTCCATTATCGATCATCAACAATAGATTCACTCCATCTCACGTTGAAGATCCACAATAAATAAAAGATGTTATGGGCAAGCATTGCAAAGAGCATAAGATATATAGCTGGTGTTAATGTCGCTACATGTGCATCCTATCTGTATCTGCAATTTCCTCAGAATAACAAGCCATAATTGGAAGGCATACCGCGGTAGTATATACACCGACTATACCAATCACTTTGGCTATTTGAACTTTCAGACGCTCTACAGTTATATCATCCCATATGGAACTAGCTCAGAACAGAACTAGCTACCTCATACAGCCGCCAAACAAGCTGATCTTGTTTTCCCTTTACAAGTGTAGGTCTCGGGTGATCATCCATCCAGAGTTAAGGCAACTTCCAACACAAAATCCACTTGATGCCTACAAAAGCAAACAAATAAAAATATCAAGTTTAGATGAATGAGCCACAAAATAAAATTTGATGTTGACAATAAGCATTATTATGAAAGAGAAAAAAGGTGATAAACGCTAAGAATGTGAAACCTTATTCCAGGAAAAGAACTTGTTGGTAAACCAAAGCTTTCTCTAGTTCTTTCACAACCAAATTCATTCTTGGGCGATCTCGTCCACGACACTTCAAGCATTGATGAGCAATGGCTGAAAATATATTCAAGGAAGCGGAGCTCATTTGATTTCGTAGATTGGAATCAATGATCTTATCTAAGGTTCCCTTTTCGTAATGTCTTTGGGGTAATTCTGCTGAAAAAGGCTCATCAAGATGCTTTGAAACACCTACCAGCTTTCCACACAAGACTTCAAACATCACTACCCCAAAAGAGTAAACATCAGATTTTTGTGTAAGAATACCACGTTTATAGTATTCTGGATCACAATATCCTGGTGTGCCACAAACTTCAGAGATAAGAATCGTACACGGCACATTTGCAAGAGCTATTTTAGACAACCCAAAATCGGAAATCTTAGCTCTGAAATTCTCATCTAATAGGATGTTTGCGCTCTTCAGGTCACGATGGAGAATTCTATGCTGTGTTCCAATATCATCATGAAGGTACTTTAACCCTTGGGCAACATCTAAGCAAATTCGAAGACGTTGGATCCAGGTTAGATCTTCCCTATGTAAGTGTTGGTCGAGACTCCCATTACTTTCATACTTATAAACAAGAATTTTCTCATCACCCTCGTTGCAAAATCCAACAAGAGAGACGAGATTTTTATGTGTATAAGCTGAAAGCATTGCAATCTCCATCATGAATTCACGCTCTCCTTGCCCAAACCTAGGATCCAACTTCTTTACTGCAATAGTGCCATGTTCACTTTCGGCTTTGTACACCAACCCAAATCCACCCTTCGCAATCACGTATTCTTTACTGAAGTTGTTAGTTTCCATAACTAATTTTTGTAGAGGAATGTTCAAGTACGCGACATCCTGAAGTCCAAAGAGGTCTTCAATAGGATTAAAAATTGCATCAACAAGGTCATCCTGCATAGTGGATTTATAGTTAAGGGCAATTAGCATATATTAACTCTGTATTCAATCTGTCCCACAGAGTAAGCTTAAGGAGTGTCAAATATATCGTAGGTTTCACATTTGAAGGAATATTAATATGCTGAAGTGAATATCACAACTATCCACAAGTGTTTGTAGCAACAAATATTTTCGACCAATGGAAGCACTGTAGACCCGATCAATATAAAGGAGATCAGGATGAGCATCAAGTAAGGTGGTAAATATGAAATTAAAAGTAGAATTCCATATATCGAAATAAATGTTTCGATGGAGCATGCCGTCTTCTGAATTGGATGTGTCTTCAATCTCATTGAAATGGGATAAACAAAACATGAAATCGATCCACAAACCTAACAAAACTAAGTATTCGCTCTATTTTAGTTGATCAACCACCAAACAGGATGGAAATCTGTTTATATGTTTACCGAATTTCTAAACATAACACCTCCCATTTTTAAATAAGATATACATTCTTGTGACATTGTTGTTAATAAGTGCCATTATAGGATGAGTGAAAGACATTGTCTTAAAATTTATCGTTAAGGTCATGAAATAGTGACGAACTTTTCCATCTCTTCCATCATCCAAGTCATTGGACATTTAATTTCAAATTCTAGATTAAAATAAAAAAATAAAAAATAAAATAACTTTGTTCCAATCGAAGTGACTCCTCTCAATTTTGACCATTTTAAGCAGTTAATTTGCTTAATTTAAAACCACATACGACAATCAGTAGCATAGTTTCATACCGTATTGTTCAACCAATCTCTAGTCTCTGACTTGGCTGGATCCTACAAGAGATAAAGTTTACAATGAAAAAAGGTGATTTCTATGTATGCCAAGTTTCTGTATCATATGCAAAAAGAGATGCCATAGCTACCGTTTTAGGCTGCTGTCCCACTCCTTCCTTAGAGAAAGAGATTGTCTTTGTCTCTTCAAAAATCCTGAATCGTTCCATTTCTCGCTCAATAATCTTGCAAGCATCCATCAGAGCCTGCTCATATATAGGAGGAACTAACCATGTCAATAAGGAATAATGAAGTAGATGAAACAAGAAATAGACATCTTAGTTTTAGCATAGAACCTTAAACTAGATTAAACCATTATATTTAAACCCTAAAACATTGTACTAGTAGCATGTATGCTTTTAGGCTATAATACCATAGTTAAACTTACATTGGATTAAAAGAAATAGAAAAACACCCAGACCACGAAACCGAAGCCGAGATAAGAGTAAACCACAGATGGCCAAATGCCATCTGCAATTTCTTCATCTTAGAAATGAAAAAAAAAAATAATAACAATAAAATATAGAGTTGGCCGAAATCGAAGAATACATACTTGTGACGCAAGGAACGGTGGTCATCACAAGTCAAGTGCAAGAACAAATAAATACAAAGGGGGAACTTAAATGACCTGCTTATCCTTGATCTCGCTGAAATGTATCCATGTGTTAATCTGATCTCTGAATCTTTTAAGTTTCTTAATCTCCTTTTTCAAGCCGGCTTCAAACTTCTCCTTTTGATTGGCATTTTCAGTATTGTAAACCTAAATACAAAAATTCAAACTTGCGAAAATTAAACTTTCAGCATTCAGATTAAACAAAAACAACCAGAAACGTCAATAATTCAAAGAAAAATATATAAATTTACGCATACCTTGTTCCATATGCTGTCGAAAACATCAACACTTTCTTGAACTTTCTTTAGAACTCGATCGATCTCACCGTGAAGCTTTCTACCGGCACCCATTGATAAATTATTGAAACTGGAGTTGAAATTAAATTGTGCTTAGTGAAGGTGATGAAAATGGGAAAATAAAATAATAATGGCGTGGAGTTCTATTTCCACCATGAAAAGGTGAAAATACGCGTCTTGGAAAATAAAAATAATAGGCCCATTTGAAGTTCGGTCGGGTCTCAATTTGCTATCTGCTTTTCATCCACGTGGTTTCCTAAAAAAATTTGAATAAGGTTTAAAAAGTTGAGTACAGATTTGCTATGATAAGTTATCATTTTTGCCATTAGGTTTTTTTTGCCACGGATTAAATTATCATACTTTTTTTTTGGTCATTTGCAGGGATTGATTTGCTATCACAAGTTATTATCTAAAGTAAAATTTAAAAAATAATATTGTATTAAATTAAAATAATATATGAAAATAAGATATTAAAATAAAACATTAAATTAAATTAAAACGTTATAAAATTAAAACCTAACATTATATTAAACTAAAACATAGCATTAAAATAAAACATTGATACTAAAAATAAAAATAGTGTTGCGTTGCAACCTATTTTTTGTACTCCTTGGCAACATTTCAAAACTTCAAATACTTAAAAGCTTTTTTGTTTTTTGATTTGAAAATTTGAAGAGCTTTGCTTAACATGATGTAATCTACCTCAGTTTCATCATTATCTTCATTATTTTGCCAATTGTGGCTAAAGTTATTAAACAAAGTGTTAAAATCCGATACCATTTTGTTCGTGGACTTCCATTTTGTGCACACTTTGGAGAAATAAGATCACAAAAAGCTCAAAAACAAAAGATAGAAGGTTAGGGTTTTTGAAAAATCGATCTAAGGGGGTGGAGGCTGAGAATGATCAAACCTTAGGGGTTAGTGACCATTAAATAGTCCCAAAACCCTAAAAGAGATGTTTAACCCGTGGGTTGGGCGCCTCGCGCCCCATAAAAGGCCCTGTGACACTCCTGGGTAAAAGCCTAGTATTTTAGTTTTTCAGATTCAATGAACTAAGCAAAATAAAGCCAAATTAAACTACGTACCAGAATACAAATGTTACACATTTTTATGATATTCAAAGGGAAATTAAGATAAAATAGTTAATTTTACAGGTATGGTCCCTATTTTACTAAGTTTACATTAATGGTCCTTGTTCACAAACTTTTCATAAATGATTTCAATTCAACTATTTTCATATCTATTTGTTAGAAAATATGGATTAGATTTTCCGAAAGTACAATGTTATTTACTAAATATTTTGTAAATTTATTTTGTGGTTTGCCTTTTTGGGAAGTAGATGTAATATATGCAGAAAAATCAAAACTACATTTTAGCAAGAAATTTTAATCATCTGCATATGTTTTTGTTGTTAAATATGCACAAATATGATTTTTATGAAAATACATTGCTATTTTTCCAGATGTTTAAAAGTTTTTTTTGTTGTTTTTTTTTCTGGAAACTACTAAGAAATTATGCAAAAATCATATTTTTGGCAAGTAAATAGCTATTTTATGCTTATTTTTAAAAGTTTGTTGTATATTTTGGCCAGTTTTTAGTAACTATTGAATGTTCTATTATCATTTTTACCAGTTTTAGGCTATGTTTGACATACTATAGCTGATAGCTAGCTTCTAACTGAAGAGCTAACTGCTAGCTTATAAGCTAGTTGATAAAAAATGACGTTTGGTAAAAACTAGCTGATAAGCTAACTGAAAGATATAAAATGACATAAAAGGTCATTGAGAAAAATATGATGTTTATAATTAATTAAGGGTATATTTGAAAAAAAAAAAAAAAAAAAAAACTCCTGAAAAGCTAGTCCAATTAGCTTTTCAAAAAGCTAGCTTTTAAACTATTTTTGTCTTGCCAAACATGACACCTTAAAAAAGCTCGAAAAATAAGTCAGCTTATCTGCTAGCTGTGGCGCACCAAACATAACCTTAATAGTTTATAGAGGGGCATATTTAGCCGAAATTCATGCAGCAAAAGTATACAACGGGTTAACGAAATTAACAAAAATAAGGGCCACGTGCATATACAAGATCTCTACATGGTACAACAGAAGAGCAACAAAAGAAACACACATACGTACATGCCTGATTAAATTATGCCCCTTTCTGTTATCTAGACAAACACAGAAACACACATACACACATATGTCAGATTAGTGTAATTACTCAATGGCAGATAAGTTGAAATGTAGAAAATTAATTACTATTCAAAACGATGGGAGAAACTTAACGGAGGCTGGTCGGCTACGGACGCCAGAAAATCAACACATAAGAATGTTGAAATAATGGACTAACTTTTAAGGTATATAAAAATGTAACTAATAAGTATTTGATTCATCTTTTTATATTTTTTGAAAATATTACATTGCCTTATTTATTGCATAATATTTGTCTAATTCGATTCCATTTGAAATAATAACCTTCATATTATGCTGACTTTATGAGATTATGTATTAATTTCTACATTTAATGGATGTTTTTCAGGAACAAATCTTGGTTGAAGTTGAAAGAATAGGCGGGAAACAGAGGAATAGGTGTAGAAGAAGCTGTTACGTGGCAATGCAGGGGTGTAAAAAAATGGACATTTGAGTATTTGACAGCTTAAGGTTTGTTTTTATTAAAAGAGGTAGATCTTATTTTTTTTTTCCTATTACAACATTGTAATTGTACCGGGATTCTTTGTATTCGAATGAACGTTGCAAAATATAATCACGTATATTCTCAAAGTATAATGCTATAATACAAAGAAACGGAAGTAGGGTATTATAATAATAAACAAAACCCACTATCGACAACAAGAACATACTTACGTCCCTGCGAAGCAGAAATAGGCCAATTTCTAGTTCATAATATAATAAAAGGTGGAGTATATAAAATTTCTATCGTGTAAATAGAATTCCCTTTTTTTAAAATTTCATTACTTTAACATAGTTCAACGATACTTGCTATGAAGTGGAAATTTTCTTTTTGTTCCTTCTTTTTGCTTTTTTGGATAAAAACAAATATATCATTCCACCAACCATATTCATCTCTTTCTTTTTGTTACTTCTTTTTGCTTTTTTGGATAAAAACAAATATATCATTCCACCTGCCAAATCTAATTCATCTCTTCTAACGTCTTTTCCTCTAAACTGCTCTTAGTTTTCAAAGTCAATATTGGTGTGCTTGAAAAAAAAAATGCCGGGGTGTAAATAGCCTATCTTTCATGTACATCCGTTTTATTTACATAAAACTATCAAGTTCTATCATATGCTTAGTTAATTTCAACTTTATTCGCTTATCATTTCAATGTTTTAAGTTTTAACTTAATCTATTTGAATTGTTATAACAAAAAAGATATCCACCATTATCTAATAACCAACAGCATCAAAAAGATAACTTCAAAATGATATTGATGTTAATTATTAATGATGTTTGCTCTATTTTTAACTTTATTATATATGAAGTAAAATTTGTTTCTTGTATTAACATCTATTATAATGGGCTTAAAATAAAATACCTTTTTAATAAAATCAGATATTATTGTTTTATCATCTTTTTTAACAATGTTATCTTGTTAGCTTCTTCTTGTATTTTTGCTAGCTCCAGACTAGCTGTTTTATATAATAGTTGTTCTAAAAAAACAAAACAAACGGATGGGTCAATGAGGTTGGGTAATTGTTTGAAATGTGTTTTTAACATTAGCAATGTTTTAATTTCATGAATTTAAAATCTTTTTAACTGATACTTGACAGAAACCATACATTTACAATATTATGATTATTTACTTCTTGGTCAAACGTTAGTCAAATATTTTAGCATGAATTATGAATGTACCTGCTTTTCTTGGTTCTTTTTTTTTTTTGTGGAGAAAATAAAGGTAAATTTCTCCAATTATTCAAAATGTGATAGTGATGGACAACAACACCTCTCGATATTTACTTCATCTTATTCAGGTAAGAAAACCACATAATTTTTTGATCTTAATTTACAAATATCGCTTTCTTTTCGATTCCAAATAGTTCTTACAATGAACGGCATCTTCATCATCACCTTACAGGCCTTACTCTTCGCGTCATCCTCCAACTCCCATGATAAAGCTACTAATTGTGGACATGGAAGAATAGGTTATCATATTTCAGTTCTACATTATGTAGTTTCTTTCACACTAAAAATATTAAAGTAACGCTAGAAGATAAATCCCAGTGGGAATTTTTATCAAACAGTTAGGTACACATAAAAATGGAGATATCGGAATATGCGTACATTCATATGAATATACACGGAGATGTATACATTAACACACATAAATATGTCTATATCTTATATTATATTATTATACTATATTATAAAACATATTAGTTATATCTTGAATTTTAAGAGTTACAAGTTACAAAGTTTATTTGTACAAATCATTTATGTATAAATAAATCATTAATACTTGGCCTTGAAGACTTTAATTAATGAAGATTATTAAGAAATTTAATTTGGAGCAAAATGATAATTTTAAAATATTAAATTCTTGAATATAAATTAATTTATATTTCTTAAATTAGACATCGATATTAATTAATTTATATCAATAATATAAACAGTCAATATAAATATAAGGTCTAAACATAAATATTTTATTTGAAAGTGATAATTTTTTATTACATATTCACTAATAATAAAATCTAATAATTATTTCCCCGCAAGAAAAACTATTCGCCAAAAGAGCTATGTATCATCGCCGCTCTGCACGGGCACACATCTAGTAAGTATATACACACATTGACTGATTTCCCCAATTGGATGTTTGAGTCGACCGGGAATTTACGAAAATCGACGACAAACGGAAAATTAAACCCATATTATAATCATTATGAAATCAAAAGGGAAAATAAATACAACCTCAACCAAGCCCTAAAATACCATCTATGTTAATGCATATAAGAAGAAGGAACACTCTCTTACCTAGTCAACTCGACTAATATTTAAAGCTAGGAAATTGTGTAATGGGTTAGCCGAAGAAATTGTATGTAGGTTGGCTTGGCGACGAGGGTTGAGAAATATAGAATTATGTTTTTTAGATCATTCTTTTTTGGAACAACA